TCTCAAGCTTATTCCTTATTTCTTGGTTAGTGACTGACATAAGAACTCTTGAACTTCATTCATCGCTCATGCTTTCTCTCCAATGATTGTCGCAAGTCAATCGTTCTGAAGGCGGGTAGATTGTATTTAGCATTTCCCACATCACTCTGTTTCCCCCCCACACCCGCAATTTTTTTCTCTTTGAAAAGTTTGCTGCACTATCATTGATGAAAGTATGTCTTTCTTGCGGAACCTTAATATTGAGCTGTCGCCAAAACAATTGGTCCAGTTGCCTGAGCTTCCATTTTCTTCTCTGTCAAAGGAGGGGAAGGTAATACTAATGCTCCTAACTCACAGGGTTGTTTATAGAGTCTTATGATGAGTAAATTTGATAATTCATGTAGATGTCTTAATGTGGTTACTGACACACATTTGTAAGTGCTCCCAAAATTTAGCTTTTACTATTATTTTATAGATGCACTTGCATTACTAGTGTGACTATCATCATTAATCATATTGTCATAATAACAATAATATTGCTTTGCTTGCTACCAGACATTTATAGCATGCTGAATGTTTTCTGTATGCTGGCGAAATCATAACAAGGTGAGCTGTCTATTCGTAAGAAGTTTACCATCCAATGTGAGACACACAAAGCATAAGCATTTTGGTTATAAATAGCAATTTTGCATATGGGAAGATTAGAATTGAAAACTAGAATGTAACAGATAAGCCAGTAAAAGATGTACGGACTATTAAATGCCATTTTTATTTTGTGTATAATATCTATTCTTCCAGCTTTTGAACAAATCAAATATTCATATGGTTCCTAAGGGAAAGGTACAAAATTGTACATAGAGAAAAGTAAATGCTCAGAGAACCCCTCATTCCTTTGCCCAAAGACAATGCCTTTCCCATTGAGTTACGTATCCTACCAGCCATCATCTAGTCACGTGCACTCTTTTCCGCGCCGAGTACTGTTACGGTACCCTAGAGACACTATTTGCCACTTGTTTCTTGGACAGCATGTTAGGAGCCATCTCCCTTGAGCTGACCAGCAGCATGGCGACAGTCAACCAACCAATCTGTTGGGGTACCTTCCAGTGGTGTCCAGTCTTCTGTCATGGGGAACAATGCTTAAAAGAATCGCTTGGTTTAGGTGTCATTTACGTAAGATAAGTGTGTAGAGGAAAGGTCAGTGGCTTTTCAAATGATTTCGATGGAAAATACCTAAGGCATTCTGTGGACTCAGATCTGAAAGCCTCTGGTTAAACTTGACCGAGGAGCTCGTTGTCACACCTCACTGCTATCCACTTGATTCCATCTCATAGGGCTCCTGTAGGACATGATAAAACTTGGTTTCTTGGAGCAGATTTTATGGGACCAGACAGCGCCATCTTTCTCCCTGTGAGTGGATGTGGGTTTGAGCCAATGGTTGCCTAGTAGCCAGCTGTTCAATCCACTATGCTTCCAGGACTCCTTAACGGGGCTATTGATGTTGATCATCTAATCAGCTATTGATGTTGATCATCTAATCAGTGTTGGGTTACCCAGGAAACAAGGTAGTCTCAGGATTACTTCTGCTTACTTACTAATCGTAGTGCACCATTCCACACTTTTCATAGAAGATTCTGCTTCTAGATATGGCTGGCACCTCTTTCTCTCCCAAGCCCACAGCACCTTCCTACCGAACGAAAATCTCTTTTCAACTGCACCGTCCCTAACAGGGAAGGAGCACCCAGGACAAGTGAACTCGCTGACCGAGTACTCCACCCCTACATTTAACCGAAAACATTGGAAGCGTCTTTCTATCCTCGAATTTCTCACCCCTAAAACCCAATCCCCAACTCACTGCCATTGAGTCGAATCCAGCTCACAGCCACTCCTTGCAGAGTAGCACCACCGCGGGGTTTCCACAGCTA